TCCCATTCCTCCTCTGGATCATCCAGATGGTCATTGGCAAACTTCAGACGGGCCTGGACATGCGCTGGCTTGAGCAGGGGGACCTTGCGTGCGCTGCAGGATTTTAATCCATGACGGCGTAGTGTGTTACTAATGGTTTTCTTTGAGACTATGGTCCCAGCTCTCTTCAGGTCATTGACCAGGTCCTGCCATGTAGTTCTGGGCTGATCCCTCACCTTCCTCAAGATCATTGATGCCCCATGAGGTGAGATCTTGCATGGAGCCCCAGACCGAGGGTGATTGACCGTCATCTTGAACTTCTTCCATTTTCTAATAATTGCGCCAACAGTTGTTGCCTTCTCACCAAGCTGCTTGCCTATTGTCCTGTAGCCCATCCCAGCCTTGTGCAGGTCTACAATTTTATCCCTGATGTCCTTACACAGCTCTCTGGTCTTGGCCATTGTGGAGAGGTTGGAGTCTGTTTGATTGAGTGTGTGGAGAGGTGTCTTTTATACAGGTAACGAGTTCAAACAGGTGCAGTTAATACAGGTAATGAGTGGAGAACAAGGGGGCTTCTTAAAGAAAAACTAACAGGTCTGTGAGAGCCGGAATTCTTACTGGTTGGTAGGTGATCAAATACTTATGTCATGCAATAAAATGGAAATTAATTACTTAAAAATCATACAATGTGATTTTCTGGATTTTTGTTTTAGATTCCGTCTCTCACAGTTGAAGTGTACCTATGATAAATTGCAGACCTCTACATGCTTTGTAAGTAGGAAAACCTGCACATTTGGCAGTGTATCAAATACTTGTTCTCCCCACTATATATATATATATATATATCCAAATTTGATGTGATAATAAGTATCTTTTAATGTCTTGATCTCCCTGTAGCCTCACAGATTTTTTTTTTTATCCACAGAGGGTTCACCCCAACAAACTGGCAAAGTACACAGACTTACTAGAGAACCACAGAAAGCGTAAGTCCTCCTCTTCCAGTGATACTCTTGTGAAAAATGTGAAAATCACAGCCTTCGCTGCCCCAGGGCGGGTAACACAAGCCACGCTTGACAAGCTGGTGCTAAATGTTGTATGTGAGGCCAACCAACCATTTTCTGTGGTTGAGACGCCATCCTTCAAGACTTTGATAGAAACCTTGCAACCTCATACAGTAATGATAAGGAAAACATTATGCACAAGAATACAAGAAGCTGCAAAACACAAGAAGAGCATAATCATCAAAAAGCTGAGTGCTGTGAACTATGTTGCTACCACAACAGACTGCTGGTCTGCCAGACAACGTAGCTACTTAGGTGTCACCTGTCACTGGATAGACAACACCTCACTGGAGAGGCACTCCGCTGCATTGGCTTGTAGACCTGTCAAAGGCTCGCACACGTTTGATGTCCTTGCTGCTGCATTAGAGGAAATACATTCTGAGTACCACATCAGGGAAAAAGTGACCAGGACAACAACAGACAGTGGCTCAAACTTCCTGAAGGCCTTTCGATTATATGGTGAGGAGAAAGAGGAGGAAGCCATCAATGTACAAGAGGAGAGTGACTCCACCCTTGATGATGCAACAGAAGATCAGAGTGAGTCAGAGGTGGAGTATCAAGATGTGTCTGCTATTCTGGATGACAACACAGGCCTTGAGTACCAACTTCCAAGGCACCAAAAGTGTGCATGCCATCTCCTCAATCTTATATCCACAGTTGATGCCACTGCTGCAGGAGGAGCTGCAAACGAAACCTACAAGAGGCTGTCTCGGTCTGCTTTTGCAAAATGTCATGCTCTTTGGAATAAAACCAGCAGGTCAACCATGGCTCATGAAACAGTGGAACGTGAATGCAAGCTGCAGTTTCTCCGACCCAATCAGACACGCTGGAGCTCCCTGTTCCTGGCTGTAGAAAGGATTGTGCGCATTCACAGAGAGCAAGGAGAACAAGCAATTCGCAATGTCTGCACAGCATTAAAGATAAAAGATGTAAGTTGACAACATTTATATTTTGTTTTTAAAGAATTATACAAATAAATAAGCCTTGCTGATTAATGGGTGAATCCACTTGTCTCAAGTAACTATGTTTTCTTTGCATGGTGGTGTGACAATTGTGGATGACTTGAATGAAATAATTTAACTAATTTATTTTATTTTTATTTATTTGTGTATTTAACATGTACAATGCATAATAAAGACATTGTACCAGAAATAGCTATAAGTAATTTTTTTATCGTTACATCTTTTATAGGTTCAATCCAGCTGAAATTGGGTTTTTGGTCGAGTATGCTGCTGTGATGAAGCCTGTTGCCATGGCCCTTAATATCCTCCAAGGGGAATCATCTGTGCATATGGGCCTCCTGCTGCCAACACTTTACCAGTTGCGGGACAAGCTGAAGAGGTTCGAGTCAACTTGTAAAATGTGTACACCTCTTGTTCACGCCCTGCAGCAAGGGATCCAGAAACGTTTTGGAGACGTCATGAAAGAGCCTGAGCTGATTGCAGCAGCAATACTCCTACCAAGATTCAGAACATCCTGGACCACAGAGGAGAACATCTTAAATGCTGGTAAATATACTTGTTTATCAATTCAAATGTGAACCAGTAGACATTGACCTATATAACTCTGTATAATGTTACTGTCATTTAGGATTATAGTGTGTCAGTGACAAACCACAGGGTGGCAATATACACTGCTCAGAAAAATAAAGGGAACACTTAAACAACACAATGTAACTCCAAGTCAATCACACTTCTGTGAAATCAAACTGTCCACTTAGGAAGCAACACTGATTGACAATACATTTCACATGCTGTTGTGCAAATGGAATAGACAACAGGTGGAAATTATAGGCAATTAGCAAGACACCCCCAATAAAGAAGTGGTTCTGCAGGTGGTGACCACAGACCACTTCTCAGTTCCTATGCTTCCTGGCTGATGTTTTGGTCACTTTTGAATGCTGGCGGTGCTTTCACTCTAGTGGTAGCATGAGATGGAGTCTACAACCCACACAAGTGGCTCAGGTAGTGCAGCTCATCCAGGATGGCACATCAATGCGAGCTGTGGCAAGAAGGTTTGCTGTGTCTGTCAGTGTAGTGTCCAGAGCATGGAGGCGCTACCAGGAGACAGGCCAGTACATCAGGAGACGTGGAGGAGGCCATAGGAGGGCAACAACCCAGCAGCAGGACCGCTACCTCCGCCTTTGTGCAAGCAGGAGCAGGAGGAGCACTGCCAGAGCCCTGCAAAATGACATCCAGCAGGCCACAAATGTGCATGTGTCTGCTCAAACGGTCAGAAACAGACTCCATGAGGGTGGTATGAGGGCCCGACGTCCACAGGTGGGGGTTGTGCTTACAGCCCAACACCGTGCAGGACGTTTGGTATTTGCCAGAGAACACCAAGATTGGCAAATTCGCCACTGGCGCCCTGTGCTCTTCACAGATGAAAGCAGGTTCACATTGAGCACATGTGACAGAGTCTGGAGACGCTGTGGAGAACGTTCTGCTGCCTGCAACATCCTCCAGCATGACCGGTTTGGTGGTGGGTCAGTCATGGTGTGTGGATTATTTTACGTTGACCGCTTCCTTCTGGTGTGCAGTTTTCTGTTCAGCATGCCTGGTATGAAATGTTTGTGTGTTTCCTTCTGTTGTTCTGTCACTGTGGAGACACACACACACACAGTTTATGAGAGTTTATGGGCTGCCTCGTTCTAGTTCTGCCTGGTAAAACAATTATAAAGGTTTGGAAATGTGTGTTACTTGTGCTTATTTATTTTTTATTTTTTATTATTTTATTTATTTAATTTTTTAAGTACTTGAATTTACCTGAATTATTTTAATTTAAGCTATTTTGTCATTTATTTTAATTTATTTTATTGATTGGATGAACTATAATTTGCCTAAAGATGATTATTTTGTATTTCTGTCTGTCTGATTGTTGTCTTGTGTTAAAAAAATTAATCAGACGTTACTCAACAGTTACTCAGTACTTGAGTAGTTTTTTCACCAAGTACTTTTTTACTCTTACTCAAGTAATTATTTGGATGACTACTTTTTACTTTTACTTGAGTCATATTATTCTGAAGTAACAGTACTTTTACTTGAGTACAATTTTTGGCTACTCTACCCACCTCTGGTGGTGGGTGTATGGGAGAAGGTAATGACAGATATAAGAGTGGTATTTGTGTTGACACATCTTCTGTCCCCGTTCATCCCGTCTTTTCTCAGTCTGTGTGTAACTATGTCCCAGGCCTGCCTGTTTCCTGTTTCCTGTGGGTGTCTTAGTGAGTAAGTGCCTACAGTCATTAGGATTGAAGAGACAGTAGACATGTTTCCTTTTATAAACATTTCAAAATCTGTGAAAAAGCTACGTTTTCAGGATTTCATTCATAGAAAGATAAAGATGATTTGATATTTTCAAAAAAATCTACTTCTAAAGAAAAGTAGAAGCATTAAGCCTATAAATCTTGATATTTTCAGAATGGAAGACCCCAGGGGAAATAAATCAAAAGTATAGCATTAACTGCAGCGCCAGTCTTTTCACCAAACCCATCTTCATTTGTGTCAGGTTTTGTAAACACTTGTCAGTTAAATGAGCACTACCATGGGGGTGGTGGGGTGTGCACGGTGACTAACATGGTGAACGATGGCAGCCTCCATGGACCTACCACACTCCCATTTCCTTGCTGTATTGTAGATTGCTCTCCGTTACTCTTTTCTTTGTATCTACATTAGTACAGTATACAAGATCCCAATTCCAGCTCCAAGACGCCAGCAATTTGAAAAAACGAAACAATAACATTGTGCTGATTTATGGGCGAATTGAACCCTGTCGCACGCCATAGTTGAACTTTGGATAGTGCTAAAACAATGGCATTTTTATGCACGGGGGGGGTTTAAACCACGCTATAAAGTGCTCGGTTAAAGTGCTTAAAAGTGACTCAAATGACTAAGACAAGCATGAACTGACAATATTTAACATCTGATTATTATTTTATTTTTCACTGGCCTGGGTGGCCCCTCACAGGAGCCAGGGATGGAGCTGGATCTGCTCCATGGTTGGTCGGTCCGCTGCCTTAGTGCTCAGGCACCAGCGAATCAGCTGACGGCATTCTGGTGGAGAGGAAGTAACAACAGGTATATGATAAGACAGAGGATAACTCCACAATCATCTGTTGTAGTATGAGGTTACATCATCTACATCTTTATGGAAACCTCATCCCCTACTTCATCCAACCCTCCTTCCCTCATCCCTCCATCTCTGACCGGGGGACAGTCCCTTGGTGACGCGCACGCGGCCCTTGATGGTCTCTCGGATGGTGCTGAAGGGCAGGAAGCCACATATCAGGTTGTAGAGGGTGATGCCCACCGACCAGACAGTAGCTGGACCTGCCAGGTAGTGTCTCTGTAGGAACCACTCTGGAGGGGTGTACTCCAGGGTGCCTGAGAGGGGGCGGACAGACACAGGAAATGTATTATTCAGTAGCCTTTTTGAAAGTATTCTGAGAGCGGAGGCGGCATGCTGAAATCAACAATAGGGCTAAGTGGAGTTCCCGTCATATTGCTTCCACTCACACTGAGCAATTCTTAGAGATCTGCTCTCTCAACCACCCCTTTCCCTCCCTTACACTCTCCAAGGTCTCTAACCTGCAAAGTCCTTGTAGGCCGTATTCTTCAGCAGGTCTCCACAGCCAAAGTCAAACACCTTGACGTGCTGCGAGTCAGTCTGGATCAGCAGGTTCTCTGGCTTGATGTCCCGGTGCAGGACCCCTCGCTCGCTGCAGTGGTTCAGCACCCTCAACAGCTGCACCATCACCTGGCGTGCCTCGCCCTCGCTCATGGTGACCCCCCGGTCCTGGCAGAAGGCGATAAGGTCCTGTAGCGCGACGGCTGGTCAAACCACTCCAGCAGCTGCATGATGTAGGGGCATTGTGGCGCCACGTTCACCTGCTTCATCAACGCCACCTCCAGGGGCAGGGGCCCTTGCCCAGGCTGTGTGTGTGCAAAGGAGGAAGCAATTAGCAATTGCAGTTAGGCTAGCATTAGTAGAGATAACTGATATAACCCCTACACTAAAATCAACCAGTACTAGGCTGGCACTCACAATGTCCAGCTCCTCCTCAGCTTGGGCCTTGGACACATACTTGATGGCTACCTGTGGGAATAGCAACAACAGTCTAAGTTGTTATAACATTCTCAGTGCTTTCATGAGAATAATACAAAATGAACTCATACAGGAGACGGCTGAGGTTGGTCAGGTATGATGAAGGGCCTTTCAGAAGTAAATGACAAGGTGAAGATATATGAAAGTTATTGAAGGAAAAGCAGTTACACCATCATAAAAAGCCATTACGAATTAATGTCATTTCTCTCAAATTGTGTGCACAAATGTGTTTACATCCCTGTTAGTGAGCATTTCTCCTTTGTCAAGATAATCCATCCACCTGACAGGTGTGGCATATCAAGAAGCTGATTAAACAGCATGATCATTACACAGGTGCTTTTTGTACTGGGGACAATAAAAAGCCACTCTTAAATGTGCAGTTTTGTCACACAACACAGTGCCACAGATGTCTCAATTTTTATTGGAGCGCTCAATTGGCATGCTGACTGCAGGAATATCCACCAAAGCTGTTGCCACATAATTTAATGTTAATTTCTCTACCATAAGCTGCCTCCAACGTCGTTTTAGAGAATTTGGCAGTACGTCCAACCGGCCTCACAACCACAGACCACGTGTAACCACGCCAGCCCAGGACCTCCACATCCGGCTTCTTCACCTGCGGGATCATCTGAGACCAGCCACCTGGACAGCTGATGAAACTGAGGAGTATTTCTGTCTGTAATAAAGCTCTTATGTGGGGAAAACATAATTCTGATTGGGTGGGCCTGGCTCCCAAGTGGGTGGGCCTATGCCCAGTCATGTGAAATCCATAGATTAGGGCCTAATTAATGTATTTCAATTAACTGATTTCCTTATATGAACTGTAACTCAGTAAAATCATTGAAATTGTTGCATTTATATTTTTGTTCAGTATAATTACAGGCTCGCTTAATGACCAGGTAATTCGTCCTGATTGGCATGGGAGCAGCGCAATATCTCACTAAATGAAAATAAAGTTTAGATGTTCTATTGAAAGGGAAAGTTTGGTGAGGTTGTGTAACTACTTTCCTACACTGCCACTGTTAGGAAAGGAGCGAGGCTAAATCTGGAGGATAGATGGAGCGAAAGATGAGAGGGGGGAGAGCAATTATATTGACTGACAGCGCACAGGGAAATAAAATGTCCTGTAACAGGATGACCTAGGTGAGAATAGGCCTGTCAATACAGACATTACAATGGTCCAAGGCATGTATTACTGCAGAGCAGTCTCAAATGGTGAGTCACAGCTAAGTCCCATTTGGGTTATAGCTCAACACTGGGCACTGGGTTTGTTCCTGTGTCAGGTCACAGTGACTTTGGGTAGACATGTCACAGTACAAAAGAGTGTGAACCACTGCCCCAGAGGAATATTTGGTCTCCATTCCCTCACCAAGAAAATATCTCAGAAACTTTATGAGAAGACCAGCTTCATTTGAATCTTGCCATCTGGTGGGCCAGGGAAGGTGAGTGTGTGCTTGATCCATGAAATTGGACAAGAGCTATGGGAGTTTAGGTGTAAGATGGAATCAAGAGCAGCCTCTTTGTTTTAGATGCCCTTGGCTGCTTAAATAAGCTACAGTAGCTTCATGCAAAAGCAGTGCTTGACTTGGACTGAAATAGGTGACGGTACTCATTTTGGGTGCCGGTACTGTTTACATTTAGGTGCAGGAGCTCCACAATACATTTGAGCTAATATTCTATAAAAGGAACAGGAGCTCAAGCAGTAGAAAATGTGAGGTGCCGGTACTCAGCTCTGGTGAGCTCCTGCCCAAGTCAAGCACTGTGCAAAAAGAACACAAATCAATAGAGCAACTGCCATAGAAAGCCAACAATCAAAAGCTATAGCATCGATGAGACAGAATCCCTCAAACTATAAGAATATTGCAAGGGCGTGAGGCTGTCTATGAGGATTAGATCCCTTGAGTGTGTGAGTTAGGGTGAGTCTGTGAGTGTGTAAGATTGAGAATGTGAGAGTAGAAACATGTATAAGACTACCAGTCTGTTTCTGCTTTCAACAATATTACAGTTCTTTGTTGCTTTGCCAAACAAGCAGGACAACAACAAGTTGGCTGAGGCAGAAACAGACTGGGTAACCAGGCTGGCTTAAGATTTGGTATGACACTAAAACAATATTAAGTGTCACACAGCCAACATATGTTTTCACAGGAAAGAAAGGAGTTGTTGTGTGTTGTCTCACCGGCATGCCGTCAGATTTGCGGGTCCCTGCATAGACAGACCCATAGCCCCCTTTCCCCAGCAACGGCCCCTTTACATACAGCTTTTCCAGTCGGGCTGAAACGAAACAAAGCTGTGAAAATTAATTCCCTCATGATGGGACCAGAAATTATTTCTGAATCTGTTTGGTGGTCCCTTTTACCTTTGCGGTGGCGTTTAGTGGCTTTAAGGCGGGAAGTGGAGGGGCAGTCATCCTTTGCCACTACAAGGCACAGTGGCCGGGGGCCTTGAGTCTGGTTCAGGGCTGGACAATGGCCTAAAGGCTCCATCCAACCCCCCCTGCCTGGGCCCCAGGCCCTGGAGGTCACAGCGTTGCATCTCTGGCTAACGTTCCCAGGACGCCGGCACAGCACCTTGGGTGCAGGGGGAGCCGGCACAGTAAATAGCTCCTGGAAAGCCTTTGGCTCCGTGGACCCGCTACATTCTAAGCCGGGATCAGCAGTTTTGGCGTTGTGGAACACAGACCTTTTCCTCTTCCGCCTGCCACCTCCATTCAGACCCCAAACCTGGTCAGAGCTGTTGGGGGCTATAGGGAGAACAGAGAGAGGGGGTAATCAGTTAATGATACCTCCTCATAAAAATATATTTAAATATTAAATTCACTTTTTTGATAATAACAACATAGGTCAATGTAGCTATTGATAGTTGAAGTTTGATTGTAACATTTCTTCTGTCATTTCCATCCCTTCTCCTTCCATATACCCATTTATAATGTAGCCTTCATTTATTTATCTAGCCTACTTTACAAGACTAGGCACGTAGGCTACTTTTTCTTTTCGTTTACCTGGAGAGAGAACTTCCTGGGAGCTACGGGTAATCATGGTTGAATTCTATCCTCTTATATCAGCCATGATTTTACGTAGGCTGAAACGGATATCAAACCAGATATTTGCGTCTGACAGATTGTCACATGGCCTTAAAAAACACTCTTGCTCTGACGTAATGTACAGTGACAATTATGACGTGACATGATGTAAAACAAAGAGTCGCGCGCCAGGTGTCCCACACCTGTTGCAAGCAATGACCGCCTGCTTTACGAGTTAAATTGTGCCTGTACATGAAAACCCATTCGTTCAAAATCGCCTTCAATTGTTGCTTTTACCTGAGATCCCTTCAAAACCGCCTTAAATTGTTGCTTTTACCTGAGATCCCCGAGATGACCCATTCCTCCATTTCATGGGTTAGAAACGAAGAGAAAGGTTCAAAGACAAAAGCAGCCCTACTTTGCATCTTGTGACGTCATATGCTAACAATATCACATTGTTTTTATAAATTTCGAAATCTTTACACCCCTCCCTACAACTGTTTTTTTAAATCTTGGTCCATGAAGAGTGGAGACCCACAGAGTGTGCAGACTTTTGTTTTAACCCATACCAACTGATCACACTATAGCTGATCAACAACAAACACTTGACTAATTTAATCAGCTACAAAAAGCCTAAGATGACCTAACACTATACAGTCAAACTTTTCATCATCACTAGGCCTACTTTCTCACTTTTTGGTAAAAAATATATTTGTCCATTCAGTGTTTTTGAGAAAAATACCCCTAAGCTCTCTGAATCCACAACAAATAGGTTAGGTATGGATTTTCTGGTCAATATCAATACCTTTTAAGATCTGCATAAACACCCAATGAGAAAACATTTTGTACAAATATCAATCTCTTTCAGAAGCATTAAAAAGTAAATATTTTCCTTTAGGGCCAGACTCAGAAGACCATTTTGGGAGAAATAGTCCTTTTATATTAGTATATATTTTTTAAAGACATAAATGAGTTGCGCTTTGTTGGCAACGACCCTCAGATAAGCTTGAAAGAAAGCAGTGGAGAGAGATTAAAGACAGCTGTGTGTGTGTTTATGTGTGCATTTATGGACAGAGGCACCTGTGATTTGCTCCTTCCAAACACAGTTCAAACAGTTTTCCACCCTCCAAGCGATCTAAATATAAAGTGAGGAGGAGGTAAAACTGCTATTTTGTTCTTAGTAATATGTGGGTATCGTACACTATATATACAAAAGTATATGGACACCCCTTCAAATTAGTGGATTCGGCTATTTCAGCCACTCCCGTTGCTGACAGGTGTATAAAATAGAGCACACAGCATGCAATATCCATAGACAAACATTGGCAGTAGAATGGCCTTACTGAAGAGCTCAGTGACATTCAACAGATGCCACCTTTCCAACAAGTCAGTTCGTCAAATTTCTGCCCTGCTAGAGCTTCCCCGATCAACTGTAAACTCTGTTATTTTGAAGTGGAAATGTCTAGGAGCAACAACGCCTCAGCCGCGAAGTGGTAGGCCACACAAGCTCACAGAATGGGACCGCCAAGTGCTGAAGTGGGTAACACACACTGTCCTCGGTTGCAACACTCACTACCGAGTTCCAAATTGCTTCTGGAAACAACGTCAGCACAAGAACTGTTAGTTGGGAGCTTGATGAAATAGGTTTCATGGCCGAGCAGCCGCACACAAACCTAAGATCCCCATGGCAATGCCAAGCATCGGCTAGAGTGATGTAAAGCTCACCGCCATTGGACTCTGGAGCAGTGGAAATGCGTTCTCTGGAGTGATGAATCACGCTTCACCATCTGGCAGTCCGACAGACAAATCTGGGTTTGGCGGATGCCAGGAGAATGCTACCTGCCCCAATGCATAGTACCAACTGTAAAGTTTGGTGGAGGAGGAATAATGGTCTGGGGCTGTTTTTCATGTTTCGGGCTAGGCCCCTTAGTTCCAGTGAAGGGAAATCTTAATGCTACAGCATACAACGACATTCTAGACGATTCTGTGCTTCCAACTTTATGGCAACAGTTTGGGAAAGGCCCTTTCCTGTTTCAGCATGATAATGCCCTCGTGCACAAAGCGAGGTCCATACAGAAATGGTTTGGCAAGATCGGTGTGGAAGAACTCCATATTAATGCCCATGATTTTGGAATGAGATGTTCGACGAGCAGTTGTCCACATACTTTTGGTCATGTAGTGTACCTTCATTGGACAGGAAGTAATTTCTCTCTAACTTACACACACACACACAAGCACGTGCGCCTGAAAATGTGATCGTTTAGCAACTTATAACGCATAATAAGGAATGGATGGAAAATGGACTATTACCACAAAATCTGTAATGCTGGGGGCGAGTACTGTGAAGAGATGCATAACGTCCTACTCCTACACATTAAAACAGTAATTCTCTATTGTACATGACAGATAATGGAATTTGAATGCTCTGTAACAGGGTTTGTGTTGAAAACTGTTTTCCTAGTACGTGTTTTTTTACATTTTAGGGGGGATCGAGGGCGCCGTGAGAGTTATTTAAGGTACTCTTCAAAGAGGTAGGGTTTCAGACATTTTCTAAAGATGGGCAGGGACTCCACTGTCCTGACTTTAGGGGGAAGCTTGTTCCACCATTAGGGTAAAAGGACAGAGAAGAGCTTTGACTGGGCTGAGCAGGAGCTGGCCTCCCGCAGGGGTGGGAGGGCCAAGAGACCAGAGGTGACGGAACAGAGTGCTAGGGTTGGGATTTAGGGTTTGAGCATAGCCTGAAGGTAAGGAGGTGCAGTTCCCCTTGCTGCTCCGTAGGCAAGCACCAGGGTCTTGAAGATTATGCGAGCTTCGTCTGGAAGCCAGTAGCATGTGTGGATGAGCGGGGTGACATGGGAGAACTTAGGAAGGTTGAACACCAGGCGGGCGTCGGCATTCTGGATAAGTTGCAGGGATTTGATGGCACAAGCGGGGAGCCCAGCCAACAGAGAGTTGCAGTAGTCTAGACGGGAGATGACAAGTGCCTGGATTAGGACCTGCGGCGGTTCCTGTGTGAGGAAAGGTTGTACTCTACGAATGTTGTGGAGCATGAACCTGCAGGAGCAAGTCACTTCTTTGATGTTTGCATAGAACGACAAGGTGTTGTCCAGGGTCATGCCAAGGTTATTTGCATTCTGGGAGAGGGACACCGTGGAGTTGTCAACTGTGATGGAGAGGTCTTGTAGCGAGCTGCCTTTCCCGAGAGGAAGAGCAACTTCCTCTCGGGAAGTTGGTGGGTGCTCAAACCCTACTCATCTCTGCCATGCACACAGAGATGAGTGTCGCCACCTGGGTGTCAGAAGGGGGGAAGGAGAAGAGCAGTTGAGTGTCATCCGCATAGCAATGATAGGAGAGACCATGTGAGGATATGACAGAGTGACTTGGTGTAAAGAGGAGAGGGCCTAGAACTGAGCCCTGGGGGACACCAGTAGTGAGAGCACGTGGTGCAGACACAGATCCTCTCCATGTCACCTGGTAGGAGCAACCTGCCAGGTAGGATGCAATCCAGGAATGTGCAGAGCCTGAGACGCCCAACCCTGAGAGGGGGGAGAGGAGGATCTGATGGTTCATGGTGTCGAAGGCAGCGGATAGATCTAGAAGGATGAGAACAGAGGAAAGAGATTTAGCTTTGGCAGAGCGGAGAGCCTTGGTGACACAGAGGAGAGCAGTCTCAGTTGAGTGAGCCACCTTGAAGCCTGACTGGTTAGGGTCAAGAAGATCGTTCTGAGAGAGATAATGAGAGAGTTGGTCAGAGACGGCACACTCAAGTGTTTTGGAAAGAAAGACGGAATACTGATCTGTAGTTTTTGACATCAGAGGGGTTGAGTGTTGGTTTGTTGAGAAGGGGAGCGACTCTGGCCATTTTGAAGTCAGAGGGGACGCAGCCAGTGGTCAGTGATGAGTTGATGAGGGAAGTGAGAAGGTCTCCAGAGATGGTCTGAAGAAGGGAGGAGGGGATGGGGTCAAGTCAGCAGGTCAGCCTGGCCGGGAGGAAAGGAGACAGTGAGATTCAAAGGATGCAGAAAGGGAGGAGAATAGGGTCGAAGAGGCAGAGTCAGGAAACAGAAGGGAGAATGATTTAGCAGAAGGAAGAGAGCATAGGATAGAAGAGGATAGAGTAGTGGGAGAGAGAGAGAGAAAATTGCAGCGGTGCATGACCATCTGACCACCAAGGGAAACAAAGTAGTGATCAGAGACATGGAGGGGGGTTGCAGTGAAATTAGTAGGCGAACAGCCTCTAGTGAAGATGAGGTCAAGCGTAATGCCTGCCTTGTGAGTGGGAGGTGACTAGAAAAGGGTGAGGTCAAAAGAGGAAAGGAGTGAAAAGAAAGAAGAGGGAAGAAATGAATTGAAGTCAGGAGGTTAAAGTCACCCAGTACGATGAGTGGTGAGCCAGCTTCAGTAAATGAGCTTATCAAGGTGTCAAGCTCATTGAGGAACTCTCCAAGGGCACCTGGTGGGTGATAGATAACAACAATGTTAAGTTTGAGTGGACAAGTGACAGTGACAGCATGGAATTCAAATGAGGAGATAGACAAGAAAGAGAGGGGAAAGGAGAGAATCTCCACTTAGGAGAAATTAGTAGCCCTGTGCCACCACCGTGACGACCAGATGCTCTCGGACTATGAGAGAACACATGATGAGAGAGCAGCTGGAGTAGCAGTGTTCTCTGGTGAAATCCATGTCTCCGTCAGGGCCAAAATGTGTAGGGACTGAAGGGCAACATAGGCTGAGATGAACTTAGCCTTATTGACTGCAGATCGGCAGTTCCACATGGGTTGTGCGCGCAGGGTACAGTAAATTAGAAGGGTCGCAGCCACAGGGTTGGGAGCGTCTGTAAAACCTGCAGGGAGAGTAGTGAACTGGGATGGGAAACACACACACTTGCCAAAGCTACAAAAAAGCTAAATGAGATCAGAAAATAACTAGGTAAGACACTCAAGTAAGAGAATGGTGGGAGCCTTCCTCGAACAACTCGGCAAAACGTCTTTGTTTCGGCGACAACACCTCCGCTTG